TTGTTAGAGTTCATCACTTTAGGACTTTGTAGTACTAGATAATTTTACACTTTGTTAGAGTTCATCACTTTAGGACTTTGTAGTACTAGATAATTTTACACTTTGTTAGAGTTCACCACTTTAGGACTTTCTAGTACTAGATAATTTTACACTTTGTTAGAGTTCATCACTTTAGGACTTTGTAGTACTAAATAATTTTACACTTTGTTAGAGTTCATCACTTTAGGACTTTCTAGTACTAGATAATTTCACACTTTGTTAGAGTTCATCACTTTAGGACTTTGTAGTACTAGATAATTTTACACTTTGTTAGAGTTCATCACTTTAGGACTTTGTAGTACTAGATAATTTTACACTTTGTTAGAGTTCATCACTTTAGGACTTTGTAGTACTAGATAATTTTACACTTTGTTAGAGTTCATCACTTTAGGACTTTGTAGTACTAGATAATTTTACACATTGTTAGAGTTGTTATTCTTAGAAATGTACATAACTTATGCTGTTAAATATGTTTTGCGAAATTCCAGCCTATTCTCTAGAGTTGTAAAAGATTCTTGAGTGTGAGAATCAACAATATACGTGTGTACATAAACGCTAGTGTAGCGTTTGTATTGTTGCGTAACTGAAATTTCGAGAAACTCTCCACACGCCTATAAATATAATCAGCGCAACGCGCCTAAAAAGAGTATATATTATTGGTTTGCTATAGTTGGTGTGCTATTAACTTTGGAAGCTATAACTGTGATTCTTATAACACTTATTAATCGGGACACTTCAGATATTTGACAAGGAACATTTATAAATTTCGAACATTACAAACCATTCAACTTCAGCGAATTCACATCGAACGTTAGTACTTTTAAGAAAACATTACCTAACGTCATTGGTGAAAAAAAAATCGGCGTGTGATCAGTGAAGACCACTGACCTAGCTATCTTCCTATTAAGTAAATTATACCTACGTCAACTCCAAATTAACTTGCTCATCGAAAACCCTCGATAAGATATCAAGGACTTTCAGACCAGAAAGAAGACTTTATATTGCTTTTATACTGTAAAACTTTTGTATATAAATCATTGTTTGTAATAACTATTTGTAATAACTGTTATTGTAAATTGTATTACTGTTTGTATATTATAACATATTTGTATTATAAAAATGAAACTGTGTGTATCAATCTTGTTGGCACAAATTGGATACATATCAGCACATATTTAACTACTAAATCTAAATTACAATTTAACTCAGTTTTAGGCTAGTTGAAATTGTAATACTATATAGAGTTTTTCCTGATTTCGCTAGTGGATTTTGAAGCTTAAATGCTGATAATGACGTTGTAAAAACGCGTTTTTCTAAACCATAGTGCCTTGTTAAAAACGTTCCTCAGATATCAAGTATCGTTCCAACTGAAACAAACATAAACAAGTCACTTACAAGCTGGTTCAGTTAAGCTGTAAAACATGATTACAAATCTGTTTAAACAGCACAATCGTTGCAGCGCGGCCATATGTAAAATCCACGTGCAAACTGCCATTATTATATTGTTGGGTAAATGTTCTAATATATGTATATACATGAAGTATCGCGCTCGTGTGTTCGGATAAAGTGATTATATATATATTTTTTTTCTTATCAATAGATTGCATAAAAATGCGTCATACTGTAATATACGCTGACAAAATACTCTTGATTAATGTGGAGAATTCAGTTTCTGCGTATAGCATTACATAGAATACGGTATACGTAATCAGTGAGTCATACAGTTTGTTTGTTTAAACGCAGATTTTTTTTTAAAATTTCTGCTGTAATATCTAACACACAGTGTGTAAATAAGCGTTATTATACGATGGTTGGTTGTGCAAATTCATCCTATTTACCAATATTCACACCATTGTTGGTTGTGCAAATTCATCCTATATACCAATATTCACACCATGGTTGGTTGTGCAAATTCATCCTATTTACCAACATTCACACCATGGTTGGTTGTGCAAATTCATCCTATTTACCAATATTCACACCATGGTTGGTTGTGCAAATTCATCCTATTTAACAATATTTACATCATGGTTGGTTGTGCAAATTTACTCTGTTTGTTGGTTAATATTCACACGATAGGCAATTGTACAAAATCACCCTGTTTGCCAATACTCATACGATGGCTGTTTCTACAAATTAACCCTGTTTGCCAATATTTATACGATGGTTGATTGTACAAATTAATCCTATTTGCCAATATTCATATATATTTATATATATATTGGCATTTGCAAAGCATTGGATAAAATCATCATATCATAGGTGTGTACTGTTGTGGTGTTTTCTTGCTGGTATAAAAAGTCACCTGTACAAAGTAACTGTGTTAGTGTTCAACGAAAACAAAAACGTATTAACATTTGAAATGGATAACGTCAACTACCACATCTTTGAAGCAGTGTTAACATTTGAAATGAATAACGTCAACTACCACATCTTTGAAGCAGTATATACATTGGAAATTAATAAAGTAAACTACCACATCTTTGAAGCAGTATTAACATTTGAAATGAATAACGTCAACTACCACATCTTTGAAGCAGTATTAACATTTGAAATGAATAACGTCAACTACCACATCTTTGAAGCAGTATTAACATTTGAAATGAATAACGTCAACTACCACATCTTTGAAGCAGTATATACATTGGAAATTAATAAAGTAAACTACCACATCTTTGAAGCAGTATATACATTGGAAATTAATAAAGTAAACTACCACATCTTTGAAGCAGTATATACATTGGAAATTAATAAAGTAAACTACCACATCTTTGAAGCAGTATTAACATTTGAAATGGATAAAGTCAACTACCACATTTTGAAGCAGTATTAACATTTGAAATGAATAACGTCAACTACCACATCTTTAAAGCAGTATATACATTGGAAATTAATAAAGTAAACTACCACATCTTTGAAGCAGTATTAACATTTGAAATGGATAAAGTAAACTACCACATCTTTGAAGCAGTATTAACATTTGAAATGAATAACGTCAACTACCATATCTTTGAAGCAGTATTAACATTTGAAATGGATAAAGTAAACTTCCACATTTTTGAAACAATATTTATTTGAAATGGATAAAATCGACTACCCCATCTTTGAAGCAGTGAAGGTAGCATCTTGAGAAAAAAACAAGATATTGTATTAAAACAAGAATTGTAACACATAAAAGTAAATCTTGTCGTTGGCTAAAGATCATACAGTCTCAACGTATCCAAAGATGGAGAGCTTTATCTTACCCATTTATTTTACAAGTCCAACGACGCTGTTAGTCTTTCTGTAAAAGTGGGTGAAAATATCATCTGAGTATATGTCACGCGTTATTTGATGTGTGGAGAAATGTATATAACATCAACTGAGTATATTTCACGCGTTATTTGATGTGTGGAGAAATGTATATAATATCATCTGAGTATATGTCACGCGTTATTTGATGTGTGGAGAAATGTATATAATATCATCTGAGTATATGTCACGCGTTATTTGATGTGTGGAGAAATGTATATAACATCAACTGAGTATATGTCACGCGTTATTTAATGTGTGGAGAAATGTATATAACATCAACTGAGTATATGTCACGCGTTATTTGATGTGTGGAGAAATGTATTTACTTTGTCAATATTGTTATATATATTGATTTATATATAAATACTTTAGTTTTAAGTTAAACATTATTTCATCACATAACATATTTTCGTTAAATCGTTAATAGAAATCATGTCTATAACTTTCTTCCCTCTTAAGAACAAACAGAACGTTTACAGTTCATATGAACATAACTCACACTTCATTTAACAAACAGAACGTTTACAGTTCGTATTAACATAACTCAAACTTCATTTAACAAACAGAACGTTTACAGTTCGTATTAACATAACTCACACTTCATTTAACAAACAGAACGTTTACAGTTCGTATTAATATAACTCACACTTCATTTAACAAACAGAACGTTTACAGTTCGTATTAACATAACTCACACTTCATTTAACAAACAGAACGTTTACAGTTCGTATTAATATAACTCACACTTCATTTAACAAACAGAACGTTTACAGTTCGTATTAACATAACTCAAACTTCATTTAACAAACAGAACGTTTACAGTTCATATGAACATAACTCACACTTCATTTAACAAACAGAACGTTTACAGTTCGTATTAACATAACTCAAACTTCATTTAACAAACAGAACGTTTACAGTTCGTATTAATATAACTCACACTTCATTTAACAAACAGAACGTTTACAGTTCGTATTAACATAACTCACACTTCATTTAACAATCAGAACGTTTACAGTTCGTATTAATATAACTCACACTTCATTTCCTTACTTATTGCATATCATCTTTGTTTGAATATTGTAAAGCTTCCTCTATTTGTAAGAATAATGTTAAAAGCACAACAACAACAGCAACAGCACAAGAACCACAAAAAGCTACTGAATGGTAACATCTAAATCAAATTTTGTTTCCTACTGCTATCAATATTTTAACCCCAAAACCTGCTGCCTCCGGGCCAACAAGGTCTTTAAACATTAAGTAAGTTGTCAAGTGTGATTAAGAATAGGCAATCAGTGTTTAATAAAAAATCATAATTTCGGTAGGAACCAATGGGTGTTACCACGAAGTACCTGATGTACAAACACGTAAAGAAATTGACATTTAAATGTCATCTTTGTCGGTTCCAACAAGATAACTCCACCGTACTGTGTGTAGGCTAAACACAGACTGTGAAGTAACCATGTCCGAGATTAATTTACATACACCACAGGTATTCTATAAGTCATATCAGGATACTCGAATCATCGAGTAACAACCATTTATATGAAATCACACGTACTACAAGAAATAGTCTAAAACTAATCTTAACTGTCGAACTTAAGCCTTTTTACCATCTGTAAATCAAGTTGAAGATTTTGATTTACAGACAAAATATTTGGAGAGAATTAAACTGAGACACTTGACAAAGATCTGGAGCCCATATCTGAAGTAGATGGCGTTCTAGCCGGACCAAAAGTATTATCCGTTTCTCCTTTGGTAACCAGTAATATTCTAGACTTGGAATCTAAACTGGAAACTCTTTTACGACCACGTTCTGCAGTATTGGATTTTAACACCATTACATCAGTTACGTTACTTCCACAAGTGATTAGAAGTGTAGAACTATATGCAGACGATCTTCCTCGTAATGGAACAAGGGGAACAACGTCTTTCTTTTGTCTCGACTTTCTTCTACAGTGATAGAACACGAGCTGCTTCAAATCCACCTTTTTAAAAAAAAAAAATAAATCTTTCAGTTACACGTCTGTACATTAATTATTGGTATTAAATTATTTCATTCCCATTAACGGAATAATATTTTTAAAACAAGTTTTGTGGAATTAATAAACTAAGTTACGAAGATAAAATGAAAATTAAAAATATGGCGATAATTCTGCTTAAAACAACCCCCCGGGTACAGGTTTGAAGGAGAATTTAATTATGTTAATTATAATGATTAATATTTAACAAACATATCTGATTATAATCACGCTTTGTAACCAAAAGACGTTCATACATCTAACAAACGGCTTTTATAAATAGCATTCTGGCCACTACTGTGTTTGTTGTATCCCAGCCGACATGATGAGCTCTGGTATTAAGCGAAATGCGTCGTCGACAACGAATATGACGGACATAGTATTGTTGAAATATCACTATATACAATTATTCTTCTTTTCAGTAAAATTTAAGGGATCGAATAAAGAAAGTAGAGTTTACAAATATAAATATATTTATAACTGAACAGTTTATTCGTCTTTCTTATATTTGTAAGATATTGTTTCATAATTGTTTATTACATTTCAATCAGCACATTTATAACTCACACACTTCACTTTGACACAAATATTTCATTCGCTTAAATCACATTCCACTTGTGTAACACAGGTGTTTCATGCACGTAAATCACATTCCACTTGTATAACACAGGTGTTTCATATACTTAAATCACATTCCACTTGTATAACACAGGTACTTCATACACGTAAATCACATTCCACTTGTATAACACAGGTGTTTCATGCACGTAAATCACATTCCACTTGTATAACACAGGTACTTCAAACACGTAAATCACATTCCACTTGTATAACACAGGTGGTTCATGCACTTAAATCACATTCCACTTGTATAACACAGGTTCTTCATATATCTAAACCACTTTCCACTTGTATAACACAGGTACTTCATATACCTAAACCACCTTCTATTTGTACAACACAGGTACTTCATATACTTAAACCACCTTCCACTTGTATAGCACAGGTGTTTCATGCACGTAAATCACATTCCACTTGTATAACACAGGTTCTTCATATACCTAAACCACTTTCCACTTGTATAACACAGGTACTTCATATACCTAAACCACCTTCTATTTGTACAACACAGGTACTTCATATACTTAAACCACCTTCCACTTGTATAACACGTGTATTTCATATACCTAAACCACCTTCTACTTGTATAACACACATACTCCCCTATTTAATTTATCCGTTTGTACATCACAAACACCTTCTTACTTTATCCAATTCACACTCTCAACTCAAATTACAATAAGTATTCTTATTTTATCCAATTCACCCTCTCAACTTAGATTCCAATAAGTATTCTTATTTTATCCAATTCACCCTCTCAACTCAGATTCCAATAAGTATTCTTATTTTATCCAGTTCACCCTCTCAACTCAGATTCCAATAAGTATTCTTATTTTATCCAATTCACTCTCTCAACTCAGTTTCCAATAACGATTCTTATTTTATCCAATTCACACTCTCAACTCAGATTCCAATAACGATTCTTATTTTATCCAATTCACTCTCTCAACTCAGATTACAATAAGTATTCTTATTTTATCCAATTCATCCTCTCAACTCAGATTCCAATAAGTATTCTTATTTTATCCAGTTCACTCTCTCAACTCAGATTACAATAAATATTCTTATTTTATCCAGTTCACCCTCTCAACTCAGATTCCAATAAATATTTTATTCCTTCCTTTCTTATCTATTTCAAACAACAATTTTCTTCCATCAAGTACTCCTAACTTTATATATTTAGTCAGCAAACTCTTGGCCACCGTTTCATCGTTTTGTGTTCCACAATAAATTAGTTTTTGCTCGTGCTAGTCGGCAGGACTTTGACCTTTCGCTCCCCCTATTTGTATCACCACATTCTATCCAACTCTCTTGTCTACAGATTTTATCCACTTTGCTTGTTTTATCTGGATATCAGCCCTTAAAGATTTTGTTGCCTTGAAAATGTTATTTTATAGAAGTAACATATAATTTACAATAAAATCCGGACTACAAAGTGATTCGCTCTAGATACTATATCCTAGCAGAGTGTGATATCTTTGTGGTTGTTGTCACAGATGACATCTCATAAAATATGTACCCTTTTCTACAATGTAAGCGTATACCTTTCATAAAGTTTCTCATGAAACAATATAACTGTTCTCAATTTATACCAGTGAAGATTTTATGAAATTGTTGCAGTAAATAACTGTAATTGGCCACATTTCAAAGAGTTTATTTGTTGTTAAGCGCCAAGCTACAGAATAAGCTACCTGTCCTGTACTCAACGCATGGATCGAATTTCAAATTTTAGCGTTATATTCCCTCAAGTTTACCGCTGAGTCGCTGAGGAGGTTTATGTAAAGAACGTTTCAGATTCTAGAAATAGTATTGTAAATACAAATAGCCCAGAAACGTCTTCGTTAACAAAGACTGCAGTTATAAAGATTAGTTATGTTCTAAGTTAAACATCAGTGAACAAAGCATATATTCATAATTGTTGAGACAAAAAAAAGTGTCAATACCTTTATTAATACACACTGTATATTTTCACTATATTTAACGTTAAAACTTTTCACGTACAATATCAAACATATTACATATAACTTTAAACTGGTCGTTTCGACCTAATATCGAATATCAATACAGTTACAAATAAATAATCAGTATGAGATGACGCCAAAACAGAACTTGGGTGTAAAGCTCTGAAGTTTACACGGTGATGATATTTATTTACTAAACTGTTAATCAGACACGAACTTCTGAACTTTTGAAAATATCCACGTCTTTAGAGCAAGTTAGACGCCATTTGTTTCGAGAACAGATTTTAATCGAGTTACGTATTCCTTACTTATATGTTAATAATAATATTATAGAGATATGTATAACTTTTGGACAAGTTATCTGCCATTTATATCAATAAACATAATGTAACCCTAACTATTTTTTTTTACTTTAACATAGCTTTGGGCTAAGTTATCTGTCATTTATATCAATAAACATAATGTAACCCTAACTTTTTTTTTTTTACTTTAACATAGCTTTGGGCTAAGTTATCTGCCATTTATATCAATAAACATAATGTAACCCTAACAATTTTTCTTTTACTTTAACATAGCTTTGGGCTAAGTTATCTGCCATTTATATCAATAAACATAATGTAACCCTAACTTTGTTTTTTACTTTAACACAGAGACATGTATAACTTCGGCCAAGTTATCTGCCATTCAGATCAATAAAGACAATGTAACCCTGACTTATATTTACTTTAACACAGAGATATGTATAACTTCGGCCAAGTTATCTGCCATTCAGATCAATAAAGACAATGTAACCCTGACTTATATTTACTTTAACACAGAGATATGAATAAATCTGAACCGACTTGTTGTGTTGCACTGATGAGAAATGTTATAAGTTATTTATCACTTAGGTTCTATTCATTTCATTGTCAATAACATCTATATATATATATATATATTATTTCACCTCGATACATAACATTTACGGTATATATATATTA